TTTGGTTTTTAAAGCATCCTTGCTAACTACTGTCAAAGATGACATCCTCAAATTCACAGCCGCCCGTAAGTTAAGTCTAGGAAGTTAGGGCTTGTCTACATTGCTCAGTTTGAAAGCGATTGAGCGAGGATTTGTAAAGCAGGGCAGGGCAGTTAGGGCAAGCCTTACTTAGGGAGTGCTCACTGCACCACCTGCCTTCTGCTGCCCTGGCCCTCCCACCGAGATGGCTCTACTAGACAGTTTTTGTTGGGAGGCTCATTTCTGAGATGCAAAGGGTCTTGGGGAACAGAACACAGGGTGCTGCCCCTTTCTTTCTCCCATTGCCCCCAGCTAGAGGTTGTGTGGTCTCTGGAGTCATGCAGAGACCCTGATCTTCCACGGCACCTCGGCTACCTCTCCAGCCGGGATACCTCCAGGCTGAATGTCACCCGTGCAGTTGCTGCTGCAGCCTCCGAATGAGGGTAGCGGAGTGGAAGGCCACCTCCCATTCAGCATCAGAAGGACCGTGCAACCTTCACCAGCCTCTGGGCTTTATGGGAGCATGACCTTGAAAATCAAATGCAGAGAAGTGTCCCAACTAGAGGAACCTTGTTTGAGGCATAGTCAAACCTATTAGCTTGAGAAATTGGTCTGAAACTCTTATTAAAAGAGACAAATCATTCCGCATTTCCTCCAGCCTGAAAAGATTGGGGGTAATAGGCTTTCTCGGATGCCATGGATCCGTGTACCACACGTCAGGATCCCAGCCAAACTCCAGCAAGGCTAAATTCACTGCAGGTGATAACAGCGGTTATTCTTTTTCCCTTTTAATGGGCACTTCTGATTAATTCCGATTTCTCTGACCAGCCTCCAACTTCTCTATCCCAGCCCCTCATTACTGTGAAGGTTGCAAGGTGGAAGAGCCCATGGCAAAGAGAAATGAAGTCCAATTGTGGATTTGTCATTACTGCACCGCTCAGCAGATGACTGTCCAACCTCAGAGGTCCTGGTGACCAGCTCCTCCCCTCTAACCCATCAATACATCTCCTTCCCCAGGAGACTCAATTAACCACCGAGGGAGACAGCAGGGATGGGAGGCGTCAATTGGCATGATGAGAGTTAACCTTGCATGCCTGCCTCTGCTCTCTGAGGGGGTGATGAGAATTTTCCTTCACGTTTCCTCTTGGCCATTGTCATGGCCACCATCATTTGTGCTAAGCACATGTGGGTTCCACTCTAATATGAGTCGGTGGACTTAAGACCCATTCTGACTCACAGTGATGCGGGGTTGCAGAGTAAAACTGCCCCCCATAGGGTTTTCATGACTGTGACCAAGCCAAAGAGTGCCAGGCATTTCTTCTGAGGGACGTCGGGATTAGTCTGAACCTTTCAGTTAGTCGTCTAATGCTTAACCTCTCCTAACTGGAATTTAGTGAGTACATTCAATACTTCCGTGGGGGTAGTGGATTATGAGTTGGGCTGTTGTAACCACAAGTTGAGCAGTTTGCAACCCCTGGTTGCTTTTTGGGAGAAAGAACCTCTGTAAAGAACCTCTCAGGCCCACAGGGGCAGTTCTACTGTGCCCTAACTATAAAAAATAAAAAGCAGGAACCTGGCCAGATTTAGCCCATGGGCCATAGTAAGTGGACCCTTGCTATCAGATAGATCCTAGTCTTCCTGAGTGAGCAGACAAGCTGGCTTAGATGAAGAAGAATGTGGCATCAGCATTGGAGAAAGCCTTATCAACAACGTGCGACACACAAATGACACAGACTTGCTTGCTGAAAGTGAGAACAACATGAAGCCCTTGTTGATAAAGATCAAGGATTATAACCTTCAGTATGGATTACAACTCAGTGTGAAAACAAGCAAAATCTTCACAATTGGGCCAATAGTAACTTCATGATAAATGGAGAAAAGATTGAAGTGGTCAAAGATTTTGTCTTATTTGGATTTGCAATCAGTGCTCATGGAAGCAACAGTCAAATCTACTGTGACATTATGTTGCCTGGCTATTAATCAGAATTGTGTCTGGGGTCTTAAAGGGTTGTACTCAAATAAGCAGCCATCTAAGCAAGAAGTCAACTAAGTTCACACGGAAGACACCCACCAGCTTATGTGATCCAACGAGGACAATTACAAAATACGAATATGGTGAGAGACAAACATCAGAGTTAAAATAATGACCACCCAATGGGTGGAGGGCTATGGGGAATGGTAGGAGCCCAAACCCCTCTGCACAGTATCTAATCAGGCTGAGCCGCTGGCAGATCTGCTCCAGCCACAGGAGAGTCTGGAACAGCCTTACCTGGAGGCTGAGACCATTGTAATCTTGATTATGCTGATTGAACTCCACACCTGACCAGTTGACTCCCTTATAGACACAACCTGAATCTGTTCAGGGTGCAAGTATCTCTTACTGGTTCCATGGCAGAAATTTCATCCTGGGCTTTTTGAATGTTGATAGGGTCTTGGGTCTTTTCCTTCTTAGGCCATATTTGCATTTTTGTCTTTGTACCATTATGATTTTATCCTTATCAGCTTAGTCCATTAAAAAAAAATTTTTTTTGGTTGTGTCTCCCAGCTGTGAAGCATAGGAGGAGTCGATGCATAATGATAATAACTGATACAAGGGGATGTAGGGAATGAATGCAGGGGTGGGGAGTGGGTGACATGGAGGGAGAGGGGATTTGGGGAGTAAATAATGAAGGTGGGAGGGAGCATCTGAATGGATTGTGATTGCATCAGAATGGAGGTGGGGGTTGGTGGAATGCTCTAAAATTGATGTGGTAATGAGTGTCCATTTGTCCTTGATATGACTGAACTATTGAATTGTATGATAGGTAAACTATGTGCCAATAAAACTGTTGGGGTGGGGGAGCCGCTCAATGAGTATGGGGGAAAAGGAAATGTTCTAAAATTGATTGTGGCAAAGATTGTGCAACGCTTCTTGATATGGTTGAACTATTGAATTGTAGGACAGGTGGATGAAGTGCCTATAAAAGTGTTTTTAAAAGAAAAAGCAAATTGCTGGGACAGGTAAACCTGCTGCATGAGACCTCGTCAGCGTACAGAAAAGCAATTGTGAGGACGAGAGAACCGGACAGGGCTTTGTTCGGTTATGCATAGAGCCGCTGTGGGTCAGAACTGACTCGAGGGCACCTAACAACCACCTACGGGCCAAATACTGAACGGTGACGGAAGCAGCTAAAGAAGACGGAAGGAAGACACCAAGTCTCTATACCAAAAAGCATGGGTTCCACCATGTCAGGTGGTACCCTGTGATCGAAACCCAGAGGTAGGGAAGGAAGAAAGCCGCACTGCAGTGAGACACCGTGGCTGCGGCCATGGGCTTAAGCACAAGAACAGCTGCGAGGAGGGCCCAGGATTGTGCCGTGTTCCGCTCCGTGGCCTGGGATCACCGTGAGTCAGAACCAACGTGAGAGCACTTACCAATACCAACAACAAAGCGAATTTTAGGTCCCACAATTAGGGACGTGGGAGGCCTGGGTTACGCACTGGGCCACTAACCACAAGGTCAGCGGTTCAAAAACTACACATCCCTCCAGAGGAGACTGATGAAGCTTTCTACTCCTGTAAAGATTCATAGTCTCAGAAACCCACTGGGGCAGTTCTGCTCAGTCCTATAAGGTCGCTGTGAGTCAGAACCAAGTAGTTGGCAATGAGTCCTCCCTCTCCACCCCAGCTCCTCCCTTCTGTTGGTAGCTCTGGAGGAAGGAAAGAATATGTTAGCTCTTAGGACTTCTCAGGATGACTTGGCCACTCTCTTCCATTGAGAGGAGAGTAACCCTTGCTGTTCATGAAAACCTTCTCTCTATGGTAGCTAGCAAGGAGGCCGCTGTGTTTCTGTGGTCATCTCTGTCAACCCAGCTCCTTGCCTGTAAGCTTGGTATAAGCCATGACAGACCACACCGGAGAGAGGCTCACTCCTAAGCCCTTCTCAGGAGCCCTGGCAAGTGTGGGAGCCTCCGCTAACTCTCAGGGAGCCCTCAAGATCAGACAGAGGGCTTACCTAACACCTGGTCTCTGGCCAGGCTGTGGTGACCTCCAGAAGCCCGGGTCTGTGAGCCAGCTCTGAGACCTGGGCAGGAACTTGAGGCACGCGTTGCTTCTCCCTGGAACCACAGCCCCTGTCACATCCCCCAGCGTGGTCTTCCAAAGTCTAATCCTGGCTCCCCAGCACCAGGGACGATGCAATATCCACCCCTCCTTCCTGGTGATACCCATAATTCCAAGGAACCATCTGTGACATTCTGCCAGGCTTCTCAGGCGAGGCACTGTGGATATGTCGGGCTGCAACAAGGCACTCCCGCATAACGATGGGGAGGATGGTGCAGGACCAGGCAGGGTTTCATTATTCATAGATCAGTACGAGTCAGAACCAAACTGAAGACAGCTAGCAACAACAACGCCAGCTCCCTGGAATAGAAAAACTGTTGCTATGGGATGGTCCACGATACCCCAGGACTCAACTCACCATAGGCCAGTAGCACCCCCAGGTGTGAAAACCAGAACAGGGTTCCAGAGATTACCTATGCCACCTCTGGCTCAGAACCACTGTCTTAGACTCAGGGACAGCAGTCCCCTTTTCCTCTCTACTGGAGCTTCAAACCCTCCAGTCGAGGAAATGATAGTAGGCAAGGTTTGTTTTTTTCCAACAGCATCATTGGGAAGGGTGGTTTGGAACAAAGGAAGTTCACAGGGATTCCTGTTGGCCGTTAGACTCACCCCTGCTTCAGGGTGTTCTATTTCAGCCTGATGACAGCGCTTCAAGGTCGATGGCACGCTCCCCCATTTCATAGAGGAGGAAATACAGGTCCAGAAAGCTTAACAGGTGGTCCGAAGCCAGAGCTGTGGCCTTTCCACAAACAAACTAATAGGTGGCTGAGACTGAGTACCCAGGCCACATTCTGCCTTTTCCACCCAGGCGTCCTGCTGGGAACAAAGGGACTGTCTCCCCTTTCCTTGACCTGTGCCTCTGACCTCTTTCCTTGCCCCAGCTCTGCATGCAGTACTGGCCTGAGAAGACCTCCGGGTGCTACGGGCCCATCCAGGTGGAGTTTGTCTCCGCGGACATCGACGAGGACATCATCCACCGTATATTCCGCATCTGTAACATGGCTCGCGTAAGTCGCCTCTGTGCCATGTCTCCTCCAGCTGATGGAGGCTGCCGGGAGGGGTGGACATTTCCATGGGAAATGCCACTGGGAGTATAATCAGAGGGATGACAAATATTCTCTGCTGAGAATTGCTTCCTTGGGAAAGTGATATCTGGGCGGATTCCAGCTCCAAGCCCAGGAATGGCTCCAAAACACAGAGATGGAAAGAAGGGAACCCAGCGTGCCATCTGCCTGTTTCCCGACGCGCTTGCTACCGTGTAGACACAACGCCTCAGAACTCCCTTGTCCCGCTTTGCGCCGCACGCTTTGGGCATGAGTTGATAGGCTTCTTGATGGGGTCCTGTAAGCTCTGGGCCAGGCTCTGGGCAGAGGTGAAAACAAATACAGTGAACCCTCATTTATCGCGGTTAATCGGTTCTAGACCCTACCGTGATAAATGAAATTTATTTGTAAATCAAATATTTTCATAGTTAGAGCATAGAGGACATGAAAAAACACCCTTTAGTCACCATTACACTCGTATTACCCAATTTATTAAACGAAAAAGGGAAAATACAGTAAAACATTTTGGACGTTACAATTATCATTTATTATTTATTATATTATTTAGGGCATCAAGCGTGTACAGTATGAGCCAATCAGTGGCAGTAATGACAGAGCATGCGCTGTTATGCAAAAACCGCGATAGAGTGAAGCCGCGGAAGTCGAAGCGCGAAGTGGCGAGGGTTCACTGTACTGGCTTTTTAAAGGAAATTCACTAGCTGGGTAGAGGGATCCAGAGTGGGAGAGGGGCAGATGGATAGTCTGACTAAAGTGATCTGCAGTGGGCCTGGAATGTGACACCCCCGGGGAGAGCAGAGCTCCATCCCTGCCTCCCGATCTCTGACTCATGGGAAAAGGAGGTGTGCTGTGGCTCGTGACCCTCACAGAGGGAACAGCTCTGCCCAGAAGAGCCAGCGAACCCTCCCCTGAGAAAGTGCTTCAGGTAGACAGGAGTGAAGGCACTCATGGCAGGTGAAACGCTAACGTGTGGAGGTAGGTAAGGGCATGGCTTGCGTGGCTCCCTTTGATGAGAGGGCTTTCACCCTATTCAGTCTGCCTTTCACTACAATCAAGTTCAATGCAGTCCCAGGGTAGCTGGAGGACTCAAGTCCCCAAGCATCTACAGATGCCTTAACAGCATCTCTGTTCTCAGCCGCAGGATGGGTACCGCATAGTCCAGCACCTCCAGTATATAGGCTGGCCAGCGTACCGGGACACCCCCCCCTCCAAGCGCTCTCTGCTCAAAGTGGTCCGACGGCTGGAGAAGTGGCAGGAGCAGTATGACGGCAGGGAGGGACGCACCGTGGTCCACTGCCTGTGAGTACAAAGGAGGTGTCTCCAGGGCAACAAGGTGACAGCTGGGAAGTATCCTTCGGGATTCCACTGACCACATGCACCACCTGCATGCCCTGTCCATGGGAAATGCCACTGGGAGTATAATCAGAGGGATGACAAATATGTGATGTAAGGGGCCTGCCAGATTGTTGCCTGGAACCATTGTGATCAGACAGGTTATTGATGCCAACGCTGGTAGCTTTTCTGGGGACCTGGAAGCAGACCTGTACCCGACTCTTCCAAGGGGGAAGGAGGCCTCAATCTCCACTAGGAGAGATGATAGGACCCAACCGTCACAGGAACGCTCAGGACCAAGTGGGCTCCACAGGAGAAGTAGGAGGGTGGAGGAGGGATAGGGACAGGAGAAAAGAGGAGAGGGAAGAAGGTGGAAAATGGGGACTTTATTAACTGAGCTTGATGCCAGACCCTTTACCTGAGTCATTTCATGCCATCCACGAGGTGGGTCGTAGCATCATTCTCATGCTCTCGAAAGAAACCGAGGCATAGAGGGGGTAGGAGTCAGGTCAGTACGAGGGGAGCTAGAATTTGAACCCGAGCCTACAAGCTAATGTGCCATCCCCTAGCCCACACTCAAAACCCAAACCAAACTCACTGCCATCGAGTCAATGCCAACCCTAGGACAGGGTAGACTTGCCCTGTGAGTTTTTGAAACGGTGGCTCTTGATGGAAATAGAAAACCTCATCCAAAGATCTTGTGTTCCATGTTTGTCTCCTGGGGCATCGCTCATGGCTCTGCGGCAAACCAGGGATGTGGAAACTGAGAAGGCACTGCTCGGAGGAGCTGATGGATAGAAGGAGGTAGAAGGACCTGGGAACTTCCTAGCGGTCACATTCAAGCCCAGCTGTATTTAGCCCTCCATTGACATAGGTGCCCCAGAGCATTTACCGCTTCTCTTAGAATCTGCATAATCAAAGCCTAGGGATCTGAGCCCAGTGGGCTCAGATATCATTCTACAGCAACAGTGAAGGTCCTGACTCCTAGGATTGTGGCTGTCAGCAGCAGTTTCTTCATCTTTCCAATGGGCATATTGAACTAGATCATCTGTAGGCCTTGTTGAGTTTGTGCACCTACTATTTAGAAGGCAGACACATTTTCTTTACCACCACAGGCATCAACGGTGTCAAGATCACCGACACTCAATAGTATCCATGTAATTACTTATACTGTAAAGTATAAAAATAGTCCATATAAACGGTATTATAATATCAAAAGTCAAATAGCCAGAGTATCATGGAGTC